TTTTGGATTTTTTTTTAAATGGAGCAAACAGTTTTTTATCATCTCCATCAGTGGTTCTCAAACTGTAGGTCGGGATCCCAAAGTGGGTCGCGACCCCTTTTGAATGGGGTCGCCAGGGCTGGCTTAGACTTGCTGGGGCCCAGGGCTGAAGCCCAAGCCCCCCTGCCCAGGGCTGAAGCCAAAGCCCGAGGGCTTCAGCTCTGGGCAGCAGGGCTCAGGTGGCAGGCCCCCTGCCTGAGGCTGAAGCCCTTGGAGCTTCAGCTTTGCCCCCCCCCCCCCCCCCCCCCCCGGCGGGGGGGGTCTGGGTTTTCCCCCCCCCCCCCCCAACTCGGGGCAGTGGTAGCTTGGGCAGACTCAGGCTTCCGTCCCCACTCCTGCGGTCGTGAAGTAATTTTTGTTGTCAAAAGGGGTCACGGTGCAATTAAGTTTGAGAACCCCTGATCCCTACCTCTATCTTTCTTCTTCTCTCATTTTTACACGACCTTAGGTATTCAGCCACAGCAAGTACCGGTTAGTGATACAAATTGTCTATATTTGTTCTGCCTTTTATTACACTGCTTTTGACACTGCTCTGGTTTTCACAAGGATAACACTTGTGCGGGTCAATGACTCTTAGACTAAAAACATTAGGGCCAGACTGTAATACTTTTACTGATGTTCAATAGTCGTACCTTACTCACTCAACATTCCCATTGAAACCAGTTGGTCCATTCCAGGCATAAAGTATTATTCAAAGTGTAAGGGCAAAATAGTGTGAAATACCTTTCTGTAAAGCTGCGATCCCTCTTTGATTACTTTTTATCAAAATGTAGTGAGAAAGAGCAGCTAGAATATTTCCAAAGTAACCTCTACACTTGAAATTAACATATCACTCTGTAGTCCTAACCATGGTGTGTTATTATTTTGAGCCACAAAATCAATTGGTTTGCATTTCTCATTATATTTTTGAGTTAAATGTACACCAATTTATTTGCAAGGAACAAGTCAAGAAACGTTCCTATTTCGCCTCTAAGCAGATCTCTCCTAACTGATTTTATACCATTATTCAGTGTGTCTCTGCCAAGAACTGCATCTGTACAAGTGATTTTCCATATATCAAATGCTATATAACAAAAGCATGAAAAGAACCCACACCATACACAAATACGTCACAGCTGTTCTTAGTTTAGTGGACTAATCCAGTGCCATCCTTAAGGAACTTTAGTAGCTACAGAATTTATATTAGAATAAATAATATTAAAAATTGCATACTTTAAGAGCATCAGAAGAACCTTTATTCTGATTTCCTGAAAACAAGATCTATAATATGGATCAGATCCAAAGTCCATTGAAGTCAATGGGAGTCTGGTGTCCCACGTTTCTCTTTCCCCCCTATATTTTCAGTCCCTGTGTTCCACATTTGAGTGATTAAACGCTGACAGGCAGGAGTAACTATGAATAGCTAATAGAGACAATTAACTGAATTCTACATAAGATGAGTTCAGCAAACCCCCCTGACTCTTCTAAATGTGAACTTTCTTCTACAATAGCTTTCATCCACTTCTGTCTGATAGTCACAGCGTTATCTGCTGTTTCTGAGGTTGGCTATATCTCATTTCTAAAAAGCCATCCACTTATCTACCTGCAAAGTACTATGAAACAGAATATTGTCTGTTCTTATCACTTAGCTTCCAAACTGCAGGCTATCAGTAGACTAAAAAGGACAATAAATGATGCGCGTGTCTTGGGAATCTGTTGTGGTTATTATTATTGTGGTAACTTTACTGCAGAAAAATATTACATGATTTCTTGTTCGACAGAGCACTAATGAAGAGATGGTCAGACTTGATTGAACCTCAGGGACCTAGACATACCAAAACAAGGTTTTAATGTAGTCATAGTGTCTTTGCATTGCGAATTTCAGCCTTCTACAGCACATGGCAGTTGTAGTAGCCAGTAATAGACATCACAGCATTTACCATCTGTCTTTGACATAAGCTGGTTTTTCTTTCTATTTCTGCACTTGAGACAATTAATTAAAGAGCAAAAGGAGATTCTTAAATAGCTCGATACATCGTAAAGTTGCTACATAATCCATTGTTTTAAGGGAAACATCTGAGGGATTTTTAATAAATAATTTTCCAATAAATGGCAGGCTGGCTGAAAATACATCAAAATAGAAATGTACTTAAAATACATATTTTATATTGAGTAAAAAGGAAGACACCACTTCATAAAAAATACCGAAACATTAATTGAAACTAAAGAAATGGGATCACTGTCTATTTTCATAACACACACACACACTGTACTCAGGGAGCCCGATCTACTTCCATTGAAGACAACTGGAGTTTTTCCATTGACTTCAAAAGGAGCAAGATCGGCCCCCTAGTGTTCTCCAACATCTGACAGTTTGGGAATATTTTAAGCCTCTGCTTCAAGGCCTGCTTGAACCACAGTTGGGTGTTCTCCCTGTGCTGCTGTATTTAAAGGTGTGTATTTGAACAGAACTCACTTATCACTCTATCACCTTAGAAAGAAGGAACATACAGAACACATCTATGCTCAGATTCACTGCTACCATGGAGAATCAATACAAATCCACTTAATTGGCTAAAACAGTGTAAATCAGCCCTTTGCAACCAGATGTAGGATGTCCACAGCAAACAAACTGCAACCTGTTCATTGTAAAAAACAGACCCTGAACCACTCGATGGTATATTACCCACCACCTTAGGCACATTATTAGTGATCAAAGCATTTGCATAAGCTAAAGATACTGGAATTGCATATGGATTTAACAGTAGGTCCAATCTTGCTGTTCTTACGCAGGCAGTATGCCCATTAAATCATTGGGAATTTTGCCTGAGAAAGGACTGCAAGATTGGTCCCAATGTGATTTACACCATTTTTACAGCCTCTTTTTTCCTCTCTTGCCCAGTAAAGCAAGTAACTATTCTGGTGATTAAATGCTTTCCTCCACAATCGCTGTCCTGTTTCCGTTACACACTGGAATAGTTGTTACGCAGAGCGAACAAGTGACAATCAATAGGAAAAGGCTATCCAGTTATTCCCAAGCAAACAAAACAGACTTTTTCAAAATGACCAAAAGCAGAAATTAATTATCCAGTGGGAGGTTTCATTTCCATGCAGGTCATTTAAGGTAGGTCTGTGCTCTGGATAAAATATGACTGCTAATCACTGGCCCCCACAGGAAAACAAGCCTAGTACTTGTGAAGCCTCTGACATACAAAGCACCTTAGTATGTTATTTTCTTTTTCTTTACAATACACAGACACATTTCTTGGTTGCTCAACATTCATGTTTTACGAGTGTTTTAATCTGTGAAATACATTTGGGCCTCTCACCTTGTGTTTAGTTGAGAAGTCTAACATTTGTGAAATATAGGCATTAATGGGACTTACGCTTTGGGAGTGTAGAGATGTAAATATATGGAAAGGCTGTAATGTGTGTGATGTGTCAATTCCCTCCTTCTTCAGTCTTGCCGCTGCTGTTTACTCCTACTTTGCTTTTTTGTTGTTGTTTTTTCTTAAGGCGATTAGGATTTTCCTAACTACCAGCTGTGAGCCTAGGAGTCCATCTATGGAGGAAAACCAGGGTTTTCTGCACACACAGGAAAGCTCACCCAAACTGAATGTATGTTATTCCTCCATGAGCACGGAAGTCTCCATATTGAATCAAGCAGAGAATACATACTTTTATTGTCGAGGACAATTGCTAATGATCATAGATTTAACTCTGTAATACTGGCACTCTTATTTATAAAGGAGCCTCCCCCATCCAATTAAGTGGACGCTCCTTAGAAGAGTACCATTTGAAAGACCATAGTCACTGTTACCAAATAAACAACTTCATTTTTATGTCTGCCTTAAAACATTAACTGCCAAAACAATAAATTGCCTATGTGTACATTAAACCCAAAAAAGTAAGATAATTCTGCTTTAAGACTATAAATGTCTGCTGAACGTTCATCCATTCTTGGGGGAGGAAACTTTAGCTTATCAATTTTCAATAGTTACATTTGAGTGGAGAATGAAAAAAAATCAGCGTTGGACTATAAGTATGTACATGTGCAGGTATACTGCACTTACGGTAATCATGTTTTCTTCACTGCCAAAACAAACACAACAGGTCACATGATCCGAATGACATATCACTTCTGCCCGCAGCAATCACTATTTCTATAAAAATAATATTACTATTATCATAATAAATAAGTCCAGCCAACCTGCCAGAGGTAATTATAACTCACCCATTGGACCTAGGTATTGCAGTTTATGCAGCAGGTACCATAGGCCTGATACTCCTGCAATACCCAAGTACAATGGGATGAATTAAGAAGTACAGCCAAGTTTTCAGCATTAACTCTGAACCTTTTTGCCTTGGGGGAGGTGGGATAGGTTAAACTGAGAACCTTCTGGTCACTTAAATTTTCTTTGTGGTTCAATATAAGGCTCACTCTCTCGGAACAAAAAAGAAATCTCAGAGCTTTGATAGAGACTCTGGATGATATTAAGAACTTCAAACCCCAGATTTTTGAAAAGAAAAACAGATGTCCTGTTTGTTAAGTATAAATAACTCCTTACATTCTACCCTTTTTTTTTCTGACGCTGCATTAAATTTTATTTAAAGCTGGGTACATTTAAACTGTAAAAAGAGAGCGAGAGGGAGCCGAATATGTGGGCGAAAAACCTCTAAATCTTTTCCCTAGCGAAAGAGGGAAAAAAGAAAAGTCAGACGGGAACCTTTCATCGAGATGAAAGTGCTCCCTGGGTTTCCCAGCCAGCCCGGTGTGTCTGCTCTGGTCAGTTGCAGCACTGAGCGGATTTAGCAGACCTAGGCTAAGAGGAAGGGAGAGATTGTGGAGCTAGGTCTGTTCCAAGCAACGCGCTTCGCTATGGTGGGGCAGGGCCCCTTTTTATCCATGCGTTTCCACAAGGCCTTTCCTGTCTGGCGCGCCTCGCTCCGCACAGTTTAGAGCAGCCCCTGGGTTCACTTACGTGAGGACGTAGTTGACGCTGACTATGCAGTGTGGCCGCGAGGACCTGCTGTTGTGCACGATGGTGGCATAGCTCTGCACCCACACCCAGCCGCCGTGCTTGGCCAGGAAGCGGTAGTATTTGGTGGTCACCTGCCCTTTCACGAGCACTGCGGAAGATACAAAAGAAGGAAAGGAAAGAAAAGGACCTCTGTGGAGTACTGCTGCTCCTTGCATTTCCCCGCCCCGAGAAGGGTTACCACTCACTGGGGAAGCCCAAGTTGCTTTTGTTAGCGGGAGCTCAGATAAAGGGCTACAGCTACTTCTCAAGGAGGCTGGCTCAGGGCAAACGGGTGCTTTAGTAAAGGCAAAAATACAGATCCGAACGTTGTGTGTGTGTGTCTTGGTGACAATGATCCCGCGCCCACTGAAGTTAATGAGAAAGCTCCCACTGACATCAGAGGTGCGGGCTTAGTGCAGATAAATTCATGTCCGGAAATTTCCAAACAACAACTGATCCCATCACTTATGTGTCTCCGGGGTAACCAAGTCATGTCAGCACATTAACAAAAAAAACAATGTTCACGGAGTGCAAAGGAAACTACATGCCACTAACTGTTTCACAATAATAAATAATAATGCACAGTCCACTACTGGGGGGAGATATTTTTTCTGATAAAGAATATTTAAAATGGGTTTTGCGTCTACTTGTGCCCGTTACATTTTCTATAAATGGGAAGAAAACTTACAGGAAACGAATATCTTTTTCATTCATTCACCTCCCCCCCCCATTAATGTCAGCGTGATATTGAAATAAAAATCGGATCTACGACTCGGAATACGACAGTTCCAAAGAAATGTGTACATAGGATTCGTGTGGCATTGTGAGGCTGGAGAAAGGGAGTCTGGATTTTACTGGCAGGCCCTTTTGGAGCCGGGAAAAGATTCCCAACTGAAATGTCTGAGATTTGATCGCTTTAGTTCTTTCCTCATAACGGGTTGCTGAGGGAAAGCATCGGTGAGTTAGAGACCCAATGCAACTGCTCCTTGTCCACTCCCCACCCCCTCCCAGCTCCGATTTCGTCCTAGGTGTAAATCAAATAAGTCCGGGTTTAGAGGGAGAAGGCTAACATCAGGCCTCAGAGGAGCTGTCCGGAGGGGGGGGGCGGCTACTCCCTTGTGCTTTAGCAAACAGGACTCCTTACACAAATGGTGAGCGCAGCGCAAGTGGAAAGTGTCACAGCCATGGACGTGGTGGTAAAGGGTCTTCTCTATCAGGTCCTGCGGCTCGTAACCCGTCAGCTCAGCCACCCTGTGGAAGAGAGAGCCAGAAGCATTCACCAATAAGTGACCGGGCAGAGAGCGAAGCCGGAGTCTGAGTTTAAAAAGCAAACCGGCTACCTGGAATCTAAGAAGATGAGCTTCATGTCCAGGCTGGCCCGGAACATGAACATATTGCTGTGCAGCTTGATTTCTGTCACTGCGCTGGGAGGTAGCGAGTGGCCAACAGCGACCAAGCCAACGTTCTGGTAGCAGCCATCGAAGGGGGACATGTCCAGGCTGTACTGGCGGATCTTCAGGTAGCCGCTGCAATGAATGACCTGCCAGACACAAGACAGGGACACTTCACGCCCTGCGTACATCAGGGAAATAGCTCGCGCTTGAAAACACACATACTACACGGGTGGGCACCTTAAAGGTGGCCAGCACCCAAAATATACAGCCTACTGGAGAGCAGCGCAGTGTCATAGGACTTTGCCTGTTACCATGGTCCTGGACAGAGAGAGATTCTTTTCTCTATAGAACAATTCAGCAGTCAGGACCTGATCCAAAACCCATCGAAGTCAGTGGGGGCTGTTCCAGGGATTCAAGTGGGATTGGGATCAAGGCCTAGCTATGCTTTTATTATTCCTCTAAACATTGCAACAGTCAGAAAGACGAAGTGGTGCCAGGTTGTTCACAACTGATATTTGTAATTTCACCCACACAAGATGTATGTGAGTGTAGATTAGGTGCGTGTATATACGTAAGTAAATATGTGTAAGGTGTTCATTACATAGATATGTATTAGACACCATATATGTATGGTATATGTATGTGGATATAGATTTATACACATTTCACACATATACATAGTATATATATTTTGATGTTATAATAATACTTTATTGTACTGCCTTTTTCCTGCAGGAACTCAGAGCGATGTATGTGTATTAATGAATTTAGTCTCACAATCATTATTCTTCCCCATTTTACAGACGAGTCGGCTGACGCAAAGAGAGATGCTGAGAGGCAAACGTCACATAAAATGTTTGTGAGACATAGGATCCAGGAGTCCTGAACAGAGGTTCATAAAACTAAGACTCGGAGGAGATATCTGACAGGACCTTAGACTAGGAGAACTTCACCTAATTTGAAGAGCCTTTACAAACTTTTTTAAAAGTCCATCCAAGTTCGCCCAAAGGTTTGCAATGGGTCAGCTCACAGTTTCCACAGAAACACGGGAACTTCAGTGGTTTTTGCTTGGTTTCTACTACAAATTCTGGCAAAACTTGGGGGATTTGGCTGAGTTTGGCTTTGTGGTGTGTGTTCATGTATCTGCAACCCGAAGAGAAACTCTGGGCCTGAACACGAAACCCACACTTTAGAAACGTCCTGCCAGCTGAAATCGCTCAAATGGGCTGAGGTCTCATTCTGACTGCTAGTCCCCTGCTTTCATACCGCAAGACCCAGCGGCCTAGCCAAGCACAGACATTCTCTAGCATGCACTTCCCATCCTTCTGAGCAAGAACCGCTGGTGACTCCTGTCCACGCACCTTGTAGCCCCCGCAGGTCAGCCCCGCATTCCTCTTAGCCAAGACGCACTTCATCCTTAGGAAAAAGGAGCGCTCGATCTCGTACTCTAGGGGAAAAGGCAGAGGTACCAGTGAGAAAAGGGCAGCGGGGCCTGGTGGCACCTGATGGCTTCGCTTCCAATGCAGAACCCACATCCGCACAGGCGCTGAGGCCAAGCCGGGAGAGAGAATGTACTTTACCCTGCACGAAGTGAGAGTGGTAGGGCTGGTGAGCTGTGAGCACCGCGGTCATCTCATCGTGATCAGCAGGGTGGATGTATTCGTAAATGCTATTTCCGGTCAGCTCTACCTGTGAAGGAAGAGGAGGATTTCATCTTTCTCGCCATTGACATAGCGTGCGTATGTAGCTGGTGCTGGATGTGCGGCCATCTGCCTCAGTGGTACAGCTCTATAAACACACAGACAATTACAGTGTCCTGGCTTTGTCTGGGTTGCCATTTACACTAGCTCCGGTTTAAGCAAATCGCTTAGAGGCAGCTGTACATCTCCTCTGGAAAATACAGGGATATAGATAGGGGAATTATGCCCTGTCACACGCACGCATAAGCCGTTAGTGGGCAACCTGTCCACTTACCTGTGATAAACCCAGATGAACGGAGGCCGTCTCTGAAATGTACATGATCTTGCCGTCTGGAGCCACAACAAATATGAAGCCATCCAACGTCTACAGGGGAAAGAAGACACCACATATCTGTGAACAACGTGTGCCTGGGATTGATTTAGCAGATCGGGGATTCCAGCCTGGCTTTCATTACTAAACGAGTTGGAGGGTGGGAGGAAGCTGGAACATCCTTTCAATAGATCCGCTTAACGGGGCCAGGATATGAACATAACGCACCTCAAAACAGGGGACCTGTTTGAAATGGCTCTGTAATAAAATGTGACAATGAATCAACCTAAGACTCCAAAGCAGTAAGAACAGAAGCTCCCAGCCTGGGCTTTGCTGACCGTTCCCACTGGAGAAATACTGAACACTTCCATCCCCCATCTACGATTTCAGTAGAGATTTTAACTCTTACATATTTGCTTAAGAGATTTCAGCGAGCAAGGAACGATCTAAAACTCTCCACAATGTAAATAACGTTTGAAACGGACAGAACTATGTAAAAGGCTTGTTAAGATTAGATAGATAGATAGATTTAATAAGCGTTATTTGTGTGCACTGAGAGAAGAACAGGCCTCTGTTTATTAGAGGCGGGTAGAAAATGCTGCAAGACCCCACAGTACCAAATGCCTGAATAGCTAGGATTGTAATCACTAATGCTCCTTTGTTAATCCTTTAGGCAACAGTGAGTTTTCAATTGTGTCATAGCTGAATTAATGTTTTCTGTGTCTTTAATTAATCAATGTTTATTCTAACTACCATGGGATCAAGGCTTTCTAACCGTTTGCTGCACCTTTTATATGTGCTCCTCAAAATAGCCCCCTGAATCCTCTCTACGGTTTCTCCCACTTTTCTTGTCACTTTGCACCACTTTAAAGATACGTGTTTGTGCTCACCAGATTTCTCAGAACAAGACAACTACACTCACAAATCTTGTCACCCTGCTGACTGACAAGGCTGTTGAGATTAGGGACCAAATCAACCTACCACTTTCTCCTCCGGACACATAGAATGGCCTCCAGCAAGTTGAGCTGCGCTGCGCAGCCCATTGTACCGTGATAGAGGCAAAGGATCGTGACAGATAAATTCCGCCACACTGTTCAAAATTCTGGACTCTCCTTTTGTGAAGCACGTGAACAGTTAAAGATTAGACAAGGGAATAATTAAAAGCTCAGAATATGGTACGATCTCTTTAATCATTAATACCAAATAGCTCGCGTTTCCAGGCCAGTACCTGCAAAAGATGGGATCCCAGCTCCCGTCCAACATTATCCAAAGGGCTGGTTCGACTAGTATGGCCCCAGGCTTCGCCAAGTCCTGTTTATTTAAGACACACAAAAATTAAGGTGAGACGACAAGATACAAATTCTCATTGGCATGTCAGGGATGGTTTATTTGGTTTTCTTTGTTTTAGTTTCAAACACTTTAAAACGTTTTCTAGTAGTTGAATAAGCGGAAATAATTCCCTTGTTGATTATTTTAAAATCTAATTCCTGTTTGGGGGGGGGGATATCTATGTTGGAATTACCAGTAAAATTCATTAATAAGAACTGAGTGAACTCAACTAAGCCAGGGAACCGCTCCAGATAAAACGCTATTCAACCTGGACAATGGCTTCTAGAAAGTATAGGGTGACCAGATGTCCTGATTTTATAGGGACAGTCCCGATATTTGGGGCTTTTTTTATACGGGCTCCTATTACTCCCCACCCCATGTTCCGATTTTTCACACTTGCTATCTGGTCACCCTAAGAAAGTAGCTTCCCGGAAGAAAAGGTAGTACAATATCTTTGCTTCTGACCTCATTGAAAAATTACAGAACAACATTGCGAGGTATCAAAATGAGACCCAAAAAGAAATATTTAATTTCAACAGAATGATGCGGTTAACAGGATTTGAATACAGTTCAGAATGATTTAAGTGTTGTAAAGCCAATGAAATACAGCATTGCTGTTATTCAGTATTATTCGATTAGAGAAGGATAACTCAGATATGTGAGTATTTTATTTAGTGTGTTTGCCGACTCTCCCAGAAACGAATGCTTTGTATTGTTTGTGCACAACCTCCCAAGAAATTAACAAGCTGAATAGGTAGACCAGGCTATATATTGGGATGGCTTTAAAATGTAACCGTGGCCATCCAGACAACTTTCTGATTTGATCAGCGATATGGTGTAAATCCCGAATAAGGCCCCGATCCTTCATTCCTCATCTATCTATCGACTTCAATAGGAGCTTTTGGGTGCTCCAGGAATGCAAGATCGGGTCCCTGCATTTTATTAAAAATTATTTCCACTTTAGCGTATGCCACTAAAAGTAAACTACCTTTCCCGACTTCTTTCCATAGCTGCAGTGTCGCGACAACACTAAGGGTATGTCTACACTACAGGATTAATCCGAATTAAGACGCACCAGGCAGTGCATAAATGTACTTCCGAAGCGGTCGGAGTCACTCACTAACCAAGGTACCAGCTCCTCTCTTCCCAATCAAACCCTCTTCCCCACAACATACAAGGACCTCTCTCTCCCATTGAAGGAATGAACTCTCTTCACTGTGAATGATCTGCTTCCAAATACTCTGTCTAGTTGGATTCAACAAGGAATCTCCCCGGACGTGGCTAATGTTTCAATGTGCGCTTGTTTTCCTATATGCAAAAGGCTAGGGAAAGGAGCCGGATGGAACGGACTGTGCTGGAGTTAAAAGGCATTACCCATAAACAGTTTAACAATGCTGTTGCTGAAATAATTTCAATTTAGCGATTAAAACCTTTTATGCTTACACCATTAAACAAGGCTTAGCAGTGAATAAAAAGAAGTGATTGATGGCTGCGCAGAGCAAATCGCCATGAGGCGAACACCGGGTCCAAGCAGGGACAGCTTCCCGCAGAATTAGCCCTTTACAAACTCATCGAGGCTTGTTTTTCGTTTATTCAGATGCAAACAAACACGGGATGGGAATGGAGGCGATGTGGAGCAGTTAACTCCCTCTCAGTATTGACCGGGCTCACCTGGGTGTTTACACGTCTAAATAAAGCTAACGATTTCTCTACTGCTATTCAAACACTGAAGCGCCCACTCTAAGGCCGTGCATTCTCTGTCTCTCTCTCTCTCTTCAGCCATCCTTTCCTCCATTTCTCCTCTCCATCCCTCCGTCAATAGGCCAGAGCTTTTAGCAGCGCCAGCCCCTCCTCGCTCACCATCTCTCTCCTACCCCCTTCTCAGTTCTCCACAAGAGTCTCTCTCCTTAAATCTCCACTTCTTCCTCTTCTGTTTACATCCCTCCCCTCTTCCCCATGCCAGCATCTCTCTTCTCTTTTCTGCCTCTACGCTTTTCTCTCCTCCCCTGCAAACGGGGTAATACCCCTCCTCTCCTCAATTCTCCCTCGGCCAGGGGCCTCAATAGACGGCCTTTCCCCCGCCCCCCAATACATATACCTCTGCCTCTATCCCCTGATCCTTCATCTCGCCAAATGCCGGCCGGCAGCAGGGTCCCTGGGATTAGTTCCTTCTGCTCAATAGCAGGTTCTCAGTGACTTTCCAGAGCCCCGGGGTAAAGGGTTACGGGAGAAGTCTGCACCTTACGCGCTTCTATAATAATTGACAATTGTGCTGCCCCCGAAAGCAATCATCCCATCTCCCCGTTAGACAGCAAGCGAGACACAGACGCACTGACTTCTAACCCTTTTTACTACCCAAATGCAGTAGTAAACGATTTCATTCATGAGATGGTGGCGGGGAAGATACTGGAAAGCATATACACCGTGGAAAGCGCGTGGTCAAATTAACAGGCATCACATTTCCTCTTGAAATTAACAAGCACTAACATTATCCTGCAAAGGTTGCATCGTTTCCAGAGAAAGACCGAAAATTCCCCTATGAAATTTTGATTAAGTACACGTTTCAGAGGTTTGGTTTGGTTGTGCTTAACAATAAAGCCCATTAAAGTGAGACAAAAGCACCACTCTGCATAAAATGTCCTACCCGGAGAATCAGGAAGACGGATTTCTGTATTTAATACAGCGGCTGAATTCCTTGCCTAGGTTCTAAGTTGTTTATTAATCCGAGTTAACGGGTCTAATTATGCTGCTCCTAAAAGGGAAAATAGCCCTACCCTTGCGGGTTAATGAATAGCCCATCTACATTACAGGTTAACTTTTTTTCACGGAGCATTGCACTCCTTTTTTTATGTGTCAGGTGGAAACCTTTCGCTGTTTAGCTGTGTCTAAGTTAATGTTTTATAATTAAACGTTTTCACTTGTCTACCAGAACCGGCTTTTCGAAACCCCACAATATGAGACAGCTCTTTGTATTTTCCAGGTGTTTCAGTGCTTTCAAGTTAGAGACTATTTTTATTCATTGCCAATCCTTCCGACCACCCCAGCCCATTGCTATCCTGATGCCCTTTAAAATTCTGTTTTTAAAGGGTTGTGCAGAAAAAACTCTTCATTGATGTAACTTTTTTTTATCTGTCTGTCTATTCGTTTTAACACCCAATTTCCTTTTAGCGAGGGGGGTAAACTGTGATTTCTTGCACTTGACCTACCGCAGAAAATTCTACAAATCCTTTGATTGTCTATTTAAAACAAAACAAGGAAATCAGCTTCCTTTTTGCTTCAGGATTACACTGGAAACAAGATCTAAGGATTCTCTTGTAATTTGGAGAGGCGAACAGAATAATAGGTTTGGAATAGAAACAAGCAGCTTTGTGAGGGGAAGGATAACTAAAGCGCTTTTAGGCAAAGGATTTTCCCAGCTAAAGTGGCCGAAGACAAAGCAAAACATAATCTATTTTGGAAGATTTCCAAGATATGCCACATTAACCTTAGTAGATAAAATTTGCTTTCCTCCCCGAGCCCCCCACCTCCATCAAAGTCTGGTTTATCATATTTACATAAGTAGCCTTAGAAGGCATGTATCTATTATGGATCTAAAGCGCTAGCTGGCTCACATTTCATTTGAAAATCTAGGCGAAGTTTTACTGTTGCTTTATACCTGATGCATTGTATTAAAATACCCCCTGACCCACGGATTACCTCAATGGACTGGCTGCATGGGCTTTGTAATTTCCTGAAAATGAGATTTCGATTTATAAAACAAGAAACCAATTAGTAACCAAATGAGGCGAAGTAGATCCACTAAAATTGACCTAATCCCACAGGCACCATTTAGGCCAGTTCTTGGCGAATGAATGATGAGCCACAGTCTAGCGTGGGCTCAAGGCATCATCCAGCTGTGTTATTGCAAGCAGCAAAAATAAATTGATCGAGCTTTTCCTTCGGAATGAATTTTCTACTCTTGACAAAATATAGATTATAGCCCCTACATAACAGCCTCCTCCACTCGAGGTTATTTCTCATAAGAAGATAAACAATTTAGGCTACAAGGAACTGCCCATCTTTAGGAGAGAGAAGAAGGCATTCTAGCCAACCTAGAATGTTGCTTCGGCTATTAAACCAGTTTCAGCGCTTTGCAGGAATATATCATAGGACGCTACCATGTTTGGGACTGAGGACGCTGACTCATTCTTTATTTTAATAACTTCTCTGTGGAAATGCATTTAACGTTCACAAATTAAAGGCCACAGAAAACGTTTCTTTGCCTTTTCTGGTGTCAGTGCATTAGCCACATCAGCTGAATCACAAGGGACCTTTCTGGGCTTTAAAATGTTTCATTCCCATCCATACACCCCCAGACCTCTGGAGTTCACACGGACACTTCCCTCCTCAAAGCTTTAAGAAACAACAGCTTTGATCTGACCATATCCACCCCCACCATTCGATTGATTCAGTCCTTAATGCTAGCAACCAGGGGCAAAACTGGGCTGATACATACAGTGTAGTTTCTGCCCAATAGCATTTTGGCTGCAATACCCGGGCGCTTATTTGCCATCCAACGGTGGCAAAGGAATGGAAGAAGGTATCCCTTCCAATAGTTTCTAATTTGATCTAGGAAAAATAAAATTAATTAAACAAACGGGGAGAGGGGTAGGAAGAATGTGATTCCAAAAGGCACATCCAACTGTTTAGCACTGGCAGATCTGCTAGGCCAGGAAGCTCTCTGTGAGCATCTGCAGCTCTGAAGCACTCGCTACCCTCTTCCCCTTCCTTTGTTTGGGAGTAGTGAAGAGAGGTTGGCTGGAGATGCAAGCCCTTATCTGTTTTGTTTTCACTTGCTGGCTTTTGAAATGATTATTTCCCCAATAAACTATGGGTCATACAATCTATATTCAGCGGAGAGAAAACAAACAACAAACTTTGCGCTCCAGTTTGGAAATCACTCTCAGACCAGTAAAAACAATGGTTAAGGTGTGACTAGGGGT